GACAATTAATGTTCGGATATAATAAACGGCATCATTAAAATTCCAATTAAATTTTAGAGCACTAATTTAGATTGTTTTTGTCGGCTGGGATAGCTCAGGTCTTTCTTGTTTGATAGGCAATCTGGTGGTTGGTTTGGTCCTCTTGTTTGTTCAGAATGGAGGGAGAGTAAGTACTGCCTTCTTCTCCAATATGGAAGGATGGGTTAAAGCTGTTTGTTCAGATATTCTACACTCATAGACACCGTAACTTGTTTTTATTAGGGTTATAAACATAATAAACTTTTTCTAATACATATTTAAAGGGAGAGGTATCTCTTTAGGTACATGTCATAAATAAAACGTATATTCTAGTTCGTTACCAATTCATGCAGTCGCGGATGGTAAAAATGAATGATAACTTTTGTCTCATTAAATATTTATTATTTTGATTATTTTTTAAAGCAAACAGTTTTTTGCATAACTACAACTAACAATGTAATTATCTATTTACAAATAGAAGTAAAATTAGGTTATATTCCTTTTGTTAAGGATTCCTTTTCATTTTAAAAATTAACTCTGTGATTATAGAATTTTATTTATTTTAAGAATAATAAAAATCATATTTTTATTATGTCATACATATATATACACTCATGGACAAAACTCAAGTTGTACCTTTAAGCATGTATATCGGGATTAAGACAATAACTCTGAAAGATATTACAGTGACCTTTATTGAAGACACACGAGAAAACTAAGTGTGAACATAATTGCCTTTGTTTCCCCCCCCCCCCCCCCCCCCCCCCAAAAAAAAAAAGACGACCGGCGACATCAAATGCTTTCCATTTCCTTAAGTTTTGTCCATGAGTATATCTATCAAAAGGAAATGGAGACTGGTTAAATTATCAATTTTCTTTAGTGATGTACGGAGTCAAGAAGATGGTGTTGGGAGAAAGAATCGAAATAGTTCAGACATCTCCTATGTCGCTAAATATGATCAGAATCAAGATAAGAAAATCAGTAGTTAGATGGAGAAAAGTCGACGCCTTAAAAAAAGAACCTAAATTGCCGAGTGAAAGACTTAATTCCCACAATGGTTGTTTGGTATGCTGGATAACTAACTTGTGGGATTTACTTGTTTGGTTTTCAGCTGACTTGTCCTGGACAATTCATTCAATAGGAGAATATATCTAAAGCCATTTTTCTCTTGTTTTTAAGCGCGGTTGGTTTGGAAAATGGCGATTCCAAATAAGTATATTTACATTTCTATATAAATTTATCTTTAAAATGCTATATAATCTCTCTCTACACATTGCCTTTTTTATATGTTTTAGTTAACTGAGAAAGGGCTTGCCCGAAAGCTTCTTTTAATCAAGTAAATAAAAAAGAGTTGCGTGGCGTCTTATGCTCTTTTTTTTTTTTTTTTGTAATACGCTCGCCTTAATGTTTATATCTAGATATCGTAGCCATTTTATCGCTCGCTGATTGGTTCTCTACTATAACGTGACCTCAATAAGCCAATCAGCGTTTAGTTCATTAGCCATCGGTGTGCAGTTTTAGTTCACAGTGGTTATATCGAATAACGAAGTTATTTGTTAAGTAAAGCTAGAGGAGGTTCGATTCACGGAACTTATTATTTGTAAAAGTTTTATTGTAACACTAAAATGTTTTTATTTTTGTATAATAAAAAAAAAGTCTATTTCAGGTTTATATTCAGGTATGATATTGACCTTTAGGCTTATTAATCTTTGTATTATAGGCATATAACGCTTCAATCAGACGTGAGCCACTTACCCGCAGAGAGGAGTGCAGGGTCCAGAGGATGTCGGACGTGAGGGTGAGACAGAAGTGGAAGGTCACCACCAGTGTGAGCCAAGTCTCGCTCGGGAGCCGCGACATCTTGAGCTGGGAGAACGCCAGCTGCAGCAGGGAGAACGCCGACAGTACACTGGGGAATCCGACGTCCCACAGCACGAGGGACAGCAGAGCTGGGATGGTCTGTGCATCACGCATTGTGTCAGGGACATTCTGTCAACAGGGTACGACATTACAGGAGGCTGTCACATATACACTCATGGACAAAACTTAAGGAAGTGGAAAGTCTTTGATATCGCCGGTCGCTTTTTTTTTCGTGTATTTTTATTATTATTTTTTTTTTTTTGAAGAACGAGACAGAGGCAAACAAGTTAAATAAACGTTTAGAATATTTTTGTTCCGCTAGATGGCGTTCTGCCATCTAGAAATGTTCATGTGAGCCTGGCCAGGATATGCATCTTTTATTTTTAATATATATATTCAAAATAAAGTTTAAATCCAATATAAATATATAGCGAATAATCCGAGAATAATTAAAGAGAGAACTTTCTCTTATCATTAATTACCACAATTCTTATTTTATTTCTTTCTTTAATCAGACAATTTTTCTTTACAGAGTTTGAAGTTAATTACATATATATATATCTATAACCCTCCCCCAGGTTCCTGGAGCGCAGAACGCCATCTATCCGTAACTACTTAATTTCAAGTTGGATGCTTAATTCAAGAAACTATAGTTTAAAAAAAAGGGTTTGTTCAAAATGAATGGAGCGCTCAAGATTTAGGAGAGATCAATTACTTTTAAACAACAAATTAATTTGAATAAAATATGGTGGTCCTGCTTTTGGCGGGAAATCTATCGTCGTCTGCTCATTATTTAAAGCTGTCGTCTGCTTTTTTTTCTTTCTTTTAATCCAGTGTAATCAGTTCTCTTTTACATTTGATTTTATACAGCATCTTAGATTGAGGTTGCATTCGTTTTTTTACTTTCATGAATTAAATTCTAATCTAAGAGATAATTTGAATTTTATTTTTACTGATTTAAATTCTGAGAACAAAAATGAGGAGTCAAAATATTTTAAAATAGAATTAGTTAAGATGTATTACATATCTATTTAATTATACAAATATAAGAATGAATATATTATTACCTATATGAAACAATTCAGCATGGATTTTTCTTTTTCAAATAAAACCAACTTCCTACTGTCCTTTTTGCGAAGATCTGGCTTGTTGGGAAACATTTATAGATTCTCAGAGAAAGAGAAAGAACCTTTATTACCCAAAGGTATAAAACTATAAAAGAAGGACAAAATATCAAACTATATGTACATCAGCAGCTCACGCCGGCCTGTCCTATTCACTTAACCGCTAGCCTACTAAAAATACAACAAGGCTGAGCTATATAGGCAGATGACAATTACCATAGACAATATTAAAGTTATATGCAAATCACAAGAGTATTCTATCGTAGAAATATCCAGGAATTGTAACTTTCAACATGGCTCATCAGTGGTGAACCCTCCCAACGGTTTCGCTAGTTTAATCTACCAGATACTATTGTATTGGGTTATTCTGCTTATATATCCGACATACACTATAGAGAAGAATTTATTGGTTAAGGTATTTAAGCAAACTATAGAAACATAAACTTTGAGTACAATTAAACTAAATAATTGCATCAATCATCACCCTTTACTACAACAACTATTACTAATAAATATTTATTTAAATAATATTTATTATTGATATACTTTTAGTATGAAGGAAATTGCACCCAAGGGATTTCTCGGGCGAAGCCGGGTCATTCGCCTAGTTATAAATAAAGAGAGAGGAAACTTATTGCGAGAAAGGATTCAACTTTATTTAAAAGAGATATTTATAACCCAGGTACCTGGAGATATATTCATTACATTAAACTGGCGAAACCGCTGGGAGGGTTCATAACCGATGAGACAGGCCTTCCCCAATATATTATTTATTTATCCCAAGTACACTTGGTACAGGCCATGATAATCATGGTGGGTAGTTAGCGACTACTTTTACGGTAAGTGCACCACATGTCTACACATGTGAAAAGCAGTTCGACTTTGCACTTACAAATGTGCCAGAGCCCCGTTTGGTTACTTGCACTCGCTGGTGGGGTTGGACTTTTGCAAGAATCGGGGGCCATTGGAGCATTTTCTTTTTCTAATTAGAAAAAAAAAAAAGTGCCCAATGCGGGAATCGAACCTGGGTCGTAGCGGTCGAAAACCAAAGCAGTCGAAAAGCAGTTCGATTTTTGCACTTACAAATTTTTATTATATTTTATTATCCCAGTAAGAACACTATGAAATTACTTTTTATTTTGAAAAAAAAAAAAAAACATTTCGCGAACGAATAGTTTCAAATTCCATCGACAGATGGCGCTCCATATTCTTGTATTTAATTAAACCACTACTGGTTGGGCCAACATTCTACTTGGTAGAAAACTCTGGATATTCGTCGAGCGTGTTTATGTAATAAACCCTTTAATGTCGATATATTTTGTCGTTAAAATCCAATATATATATAAAAACGTGGAAGGAAATCAATTGTGTGCTCAGTGACTCCAATTTAACAAGGAGGAGGAGAATTCAAAGAAAGAGAACATTTTAAATTAAAGATTTAATCAAGTTTTTGCTCTCTTCTAGGAAAACTTGGCTGAATGACTCTTTTGAGGAAAATTCTAAAATTTTCGGACATTATTTTGTTTAGTTGTATGTGTATCGTAGTTGGGAGGAGGGTTTTCTGTGTGTTCTTTTTTTAAAACAATTTCTTAACACTAAGATTTGATCCTTAATATTACATTTATGGACAAAACTTAAGGAACTTGTATCTTTTAGTATATACAGAAGTTGTACCTTTTACCATGTATATCGGGATTGAGACTCTGAAAGATATTACAGTGATTTTTATGGGGAATGTGAAAAATACTTTAATATAAAGTCAGATCTGCTAGGAAGGTAAAATTCATATCTGGTGCCTTGATATGGCGGAGGGTGGAGAAATTCCTAGAGCGGCTAAGCCAGGAGGGGGATCAACAGAGACGCGGATAAGTCTCCAACTCCATCTTGATATAGAAGAGGACTCTGACTTATTCTTGAGGTTGGAAACTGCTCCGGAAATATATTTATTTACGGGGCGGCTAACCAGAATGAATGATTTTTGAGCTCCGAAATGGTAATAGTTTACAGCACCCGGTGGTCACCCTCCCAAGTACTGACCGGGCCCGACATTGCTTAACTTCGGTGATCGGACGTGTGCTGAGAAGATGTAAGAAAACATCTACCTATGTTTCCCCACGTGACGCAGCGGAGCGTGACCTCGGCTGCACGGGTGAGTCAGTTGTTGTTTGGCTCTCTGTATAGATGGACATTAACCCTTAGTTACTGGCGCCTATTTTCCTTACACAATTACTGGCGTTCGGCCTCTCAGGCCATCTTTTAAAATCAATAATAAACCATGTTATTTATAAAATAAAAAAAGAAATTAAACGTATACACATAATTTCCAAAGAATAAATATTTTGTTTTTTTCGAATAAACAGAGCTCTAAACAAAATTAAATGAAAATGTACAAGGAACTCTTTCTATCAAAAATACTCTAAATATATTCTAAAAAGTTCTATCTGAAATATTTTATTCAAGATTAGGTGCACAATTCAAGCATATTTCAATAGAATGATCTTTGCAGATTGGTTATTTGCATTTTTTGAATTGCATTTCAGTTCGACGATCTTTTTTACATAGGTAGCATCTTTTGCGTTTTTTGGACCAAGGACTGCCGCTTGTGGATTCCTAGATAACATATATTATTGATATTTCGTTTGAATATCAAATAAATATTTGCCTACCTCAAGTGATGAAGTTCCAGCATGCTTCTGAATTAATACTTGCAGATCTCTTGACAAATATTTGGCTTGATTTCTCATATTCAAGGCATCTCTCATTAGTTGTAGAGCAAGCTGCTTTATAAAATCTTTTCGAGCCATTCCGCCGTCTTGCTTGACAGCCTTATAAATTACTGCTGATTTTATTGCAACCACATCCAAAAAGTTGAAAAATAAACACAGGGGCCATCTTTTGGTTCTTCTTCCAACTGAATACATGTCTGATCAACTACATCTACACCACCTTTGGTCATATTATAAAATGTGATTATCTCGGGCTTTTATTGTTCAGCAGTTTCTTGATCAATTGTTGTGGTCAAATGCATTGTGGAGAGTAATATAACATATTTTCCAATTTTAGGGACATAGGGTACCAATTTTTTGTTTTTTGAAAAACCAAAAGTGGAACCGAACTTCTATTATATTATACAAAATTACAATCACAAAACACAATTTAGAATGCATATAATTGAAACAAGAGTAATAAAAAACGAATGCTCAACTTATTTGTTGCGTTTGAACGTCTATAAAACCAAAAGTGAAACGGCCAATAATAGGGGCGCTAAAATTCCCAGTGACGTAATTACTGGCGCTCGGCTTTAAAGGCCGTTTGATTTAATAACTCGGGATATACAAAATAGATTTCTCTTAAAATGAAAAGTTCTTCAAATAAATGCATTTTATTAAGCTACCTAAAATTTTGATGAAAAATATTGCATTTTGAAAATTTCGCAAATATTTTAAATTTTCACACGGCCTTTCAAGCCGAACGCCAGTAATTACGGGTTAAAACATGGTGGCAGCGATAACTGGATAAAATACGAACCCGTATATTGCAAAATATCGATTTTTGCGTACCTTGGAAGATAATTCATCATGGCTCAGATTCAACCTCCAGAAACTTTCGACTTCTCGACTCCCAACGAATGGCCCAAATGGAGGAAAAGATTCGAACGATACCTCGTGGTCAGTGGAATGAAGAAGAAAGAGGAGGCGGACAAGATCGATTTGTTCATGTACTTGATGGGCGACCGCGCGGATGATATATTCAGGACCTTCAAGTTCGAAAAGGAGGAAGAGGCAACGAAATTTGATTCCGTCCTCAAGGCGTTCGACAGCCACTTCTGTGTCAGAAAGAATATTATCTACGAACGTGCGAAATTTAATTCAAGAATCCAAGAGGATCGGGAGCCAGTGGACGAATTCATCACTTCATTGTACAAATTGGCTGATAGTTGCGAATTTGAGGGTCTTCATGAGCAGTTGATCCGTGACCGAATTGTGGTTGGAGTGAGGGTCAAAGCTTTATCTGAAAGAATGCAGTTGGACAGCGAACTGACTTTGGAAAAGGCGGTGAAAATGGTTCGACAGCAGGAAGCCGTTCGACAGCAGCAAGTCGACCTGCAGCGTCCCTCAACAAGCCAAAAGGTCAATCAGGTGAAGTTCAATTCGAAGAAACAATCACCGAAACAACAACAGCAGCCTTCGAGGAAGAAGGAGAAGTCAGCCAAAACAAGATCACGATGTCCAAAGTGCGGAGGTTTCACCCACAGGGAAGGACAGGCCTGCCGTGCTGAAGGACAAAAATGTAACCTATGTTCAAAAACTGGCCATTTTGCAAATTGCTGCCCAGATAAACAGGCAAAGACTGCGGAAGTCAAAGCTGTTTCTGAACTTGATGAAGAAATTGGTTTTCTCCTGGAGGTCTCAGCTGCGGAGGATTCATCTAATCTCGATGATGATGAAGGCGAGTGCAGGAGGCGATGGACAGCAGAAATCCAAGTGAACGGAAAAAAGGTGAAGTTTAAGCTCGACTCCCAGGCGGATGTTACATGTGTTCCTCTGTGTCTCTTCAAGAAGATAATGGGACAGCAACGACTAGTGGAAAGTGATATCAACATTAGAGCTGCTGAATTCTCCGAACTTCAGACTGTGGGTATGTTTATATCAACGCTGCGAAATGACAGTTATGAAATCAAGGAGAAGATTTATGTCATTCGTCGTTTGAGTGAACCTCTTCTGAGTCGCCGGGCATGTGAGCTCTTGAACCTGGCGAGGCGGATTGAAGTGGTTGCGACGAGAATTAACCCGATCAAGGAATTCCCTGAAGTATTTGAAGGACTGGGACAGATCGGAAACCCTTACGAAATCAAATTGAAACCTGGAGCAAAACCTTATGCTGTGCATACTCCTCGACGGGTACCAATACCTTTGATGGAAAAGCTCAGAACAAGATTGGAAGAGCTCGAGAAGGCGGGAATCATAGCACAAGTTAACGTTGCGACTGAATGGTGTGCACCGACTGTGATTGCTGGTAAACCGAATGGCGACATACGACTCTGTGTGGATCTCTCAAGGCTGAACGAACATGTACAGCGCGAAGTGCATCCCATGCCAGTGGTGGAGCACATGCTGGGGCAACTGGGGGAAGCAAGATTCTTTTCGAAACTGGACGCGAACAGTGGCTTTCACCAGATTCCGTTGAGCCCGGACTGCCAGCATTTAACGACCTTCATCACTCCTTTTGGGAGATATAAATACTGCAGAATGCCATTTGGAATCTCACTCGCCCCAGAGTATTTTCAGAAAGTTATGTCAATAATCTTGCAAGGCATGGACGGTGTAATGTGTTACCTGGACGATATCCTGATATTTGCCTCCGACTCCAAGACTCACGATCGAATTCTTCGTTTAGTGCTCCGAAAACTGAAAGAGGCGAAAGTTACACTAAACAAGGCCAAGTGTGTCTTCGGCGTGCCAAGAATTAATTTTCTTGGGCACATACTGGATGAAGACGGTATCCGACCAGATCCAGCGAAAATCGAAGCAGTGGCGAAGATGCCTGCTCCGACCGATGTTCATGGCGTAAGAAGATTTCTTGGCATGGTGAACCATCTGGGACGTAAACTCCGAACGACCTTGCCAATTGCACCAGAGAATCTTAATCCAAAGTTGGCGGACTCTCAGACCCTGAAAAGAAAGGAGGGGAGAAGGAGAAAGGATATGAAATCCAGATATGATCGACGCTGCGGAGCTACGGACATGGAGGAGCTATCCGAAGGTGACACGGTTTGGATTACAGATATGCGAACCTGGGGGATTGTAAAGAAGAAAGCATCGACACCAAGGTCGTATATGGTTGATACTCCAGTTGGGACTTTACGTCGAAACAGGTTCCATCTACGAAAAGGATATGCAGTGCAATATCCAGCCGACCCATCGACGCCGACCTTTTCGGGGGAGGAACTGGTTGAAAATGAAAAGACCCCAGTTGTGGATTATCCCTCTAACGACTCAGAAGACGGCCAGATAAGAACCCGGAGTGGACGAATTGTTAAACCTGTGGATCGCCTTCATTATTAATTATATTATGCATTTAAAGTTTGTAATGTATATATATATTTCAAGTCTTAAAAAGGGGGATGTGCTGAGAAGATGTAAGAAAACATCTACCTATGTTTCCCCACGTGACGCAGCGGAGCGTGACCTCGGCTGCACGGGTGAGTCAGTTGTTGTTTGGCTCTCTGTATAGATGGACATTAAAACAGGACGAGAACCGGTGTTTTCAATGTGGTCGTAGGCAATGCTTCTACATGTGGATAAACCTGCTATTAGGCCATCAGCATATGGATGTTGTTGTGGAAAGGGAAAACCACCTCATTTTTATCAAGAAAACCCTAAAGTGAATATTCAAAACTGGTTGAAAGCGGAATAAACCAGTTGGAACTAGTTTAAATAGGTCATCAGAGCCTCAGTATAGACCAACCCTAAAGTGAATGGGTCAACTGGATCAAGAAGGCAACTTTGATCTCAGCCAAAAGGTCGAGAAACGATATCGACCACGTATTTCCACCGAATCGATCGGCTTTGAGGAATCTGATTACAGGATTCATCTGAAATAGGAATTCCCCATCAATCAATAAAGAAGTCACCGAGTATTAAATAATAAATCCTTATCACAGAATAACTAACCCTAGAATTGTGGAGAACAGAGCTATACAAATCCCTGACCTCAATCCCTCTTGTTTATTGCACACATATTTACACATCGTTACCTCACGGTCGATCTAACCAATCACCGCCCACCACTAGGGAAGGTTTAGCATTCTTCCGATAAAATGGATTTTTTTTTTTGTTCTCTTATACTTGATTTTTACACGGATTCCCAGTTTAAAACTAACTTTATTGGGTGCCGTTCAACTCAGCTTATCATATTTCCAATGAAGAATATGTACAGGTTCATCACATTTACAATGTTTTCACGTATTTACAAGGTTAGTGTCTTGTGGTACGGGATACCGGGTTCTAGATGTTCTTTCTTCTAAATTTGGATATTTTTTCTAATTTTGTTTTGACTACATGTCTCGGTTTGGGGTTCCTTTTCTTCAATTCTTGTTTGAAG